ATGAATGCTATAGAACTTTCAATCAATACATATTTCAAACACAGCTAAGTCCTATAGCAGTTCTCCATCCATTATAGCTCACAGAGTTGAGTGTTGGTCGTCCTCGTTCCCTGAAAATATTATATAAGGGTGAGTCTCTACCCTACCACACTTACATCACATAGAATCACCTTGGCACATAACACATATTTTTTCATGATAGAACACTTATCATTTTATCATAAATCTCTACATCCTATCAAAGTTTCTCACATATTGCAACGTGTATATATATAATATAATAACTTTCATAATAAAAATTTATATAACAAATTTCATCACATGTACACTCACTGCACATTTAATTCACATACGTGTGCTCACTGCACATCTAGTCAGACTCACTGTGGCACTATGATTACAATTTCACTGATGCCACAACCTCGGGTCTTACACAGTTTCAATCCTATAAATAGTTGTCGGTTTGACCCCACATCACGGATATGTGTGCAGTCACGACCCCCTTAGTAAATGTAATGGTAAGAGGCTAAGTTAGGAAAAGTGTGTGTGGCCGTACGATACACCTACGCTCACTGTTGATGTCACTGCTACCCATCTTTTCCCCAAGATGTTTCACATCGCCCCCATCTTTTATACCCCTAGTATATCTCTATAATTATTCACAGCTCAACTATTTTCAATCTCTTTTCAATCACAATCACAATTACATATGCCATACCACATTTTTCACATATATTTCTCATCATATTCATATCAACCATGGCATATTTACACTTTCTTTCATCATTTCAATAACATATCTCAATATTATTACAACAAATTTCATTATATTCTCATTAATATAGCAAATCACACATATATCTTATTCTTATATTTTATTTTCATTAAACTTATCACAAGATCAAATAACACATATTCCACCGATTAAAAGTATTTTTCACCATTTATTTTTATGGAAACAACACAACATCATCAACTATATCAAATATAAGCATATTTCATCAATTAAAATCATGTTTTACCAATTAAAATATCATCAAATCAACAAGTATTTCATATACAACCTCAAATATACCCAGATCTATAAGAATACACTCAGATCTACTAGAATACAACCAGATCTACCACAAAACAAGTAGTTCACATAGGAAAATGATAAAGTAGAGTCCCCTTACCTCAAAACAGAGCTTTTATAAAGATTTAACCCAAGATTTAACTCTAGAACGAAATTTTTCCTAAGAACACCATGAACATCTATAAGAAAAAGAAGAAGAGGAGAAACAAACGGTAAATTTAACTTTAAACTTAAAGAAACTTGCTTGAAATTCTTTAGAACGGGCGTAGAATCACAGATCTGAAGGAAAAATCTAATTTTAGGAGGGTTTAGTATGAGAGAAAATGGTGAGATATAGCCTTTGAACATTTGAAAACCTTAGATAGAAGTGAAAAAATGAAAATTTTGCGTGAAGTCCTCATTTTATAGAAAATTTTTAAAATTTACTGTTTACTGCTGGAAACACTATTCACTGCTTTATTGTTCATGCCGGAAATACTGTTCGTGGTCACTATTTACGCCGAAAATACTGTGTACGCGTATGTGACATCAACATGACATCAGGGTAACGTTATTGATGACGTTATCTTTTTTTTCTAAAATGTAAATTTCATCCAAATCTATTCCAATTATACTTTAATAAATCTCATTTTATTTAAATCAAAATGTAGGATGTTACACCCTACGTTTTCCCCATATTTCCCATCATCTCTGAACTTTATACTTAGTGTATCTCTGTACCTATTCACACTAGATCCATTCAACTTCTTACACTCATCCTATACTTCTTTTCGTACCAAACTCATTACTCAAGTAAAATAACGTATACTACCCGAATATATCATTAACACCCAAAATCAACCAAACATACTTTCACAACAATCCAATATCATTCAATCATAAAAATCATACAAGTAAACATACAAAAAGTACTCTCATGGGTACAAAATATTTATTATGCTTTAAATGGAAAAATAAAGCCCCCTTACCTTGAAACATAGTTTTAAAGGAAGGTTTATGAGAGTTTTTCGTGAAAGGTCCTAACTTCTCCTAGATATCACAAAAGAGAGTATTTTGAGAAGGGAGAGATATATAAAACAAATAAAATGAGAGAACTAAGCTCTAAGAACTTAATTGAAGTTGATTGGGTGAACTTCTAAGCCCGGATTCAAAGAAAAGTCAAAGTTTAGTGGAGATTTCTAAGAAGAGAGGGTTAGAGAGTAGAGAGAACAGGGGAAAGGTCAAAAACTTGGATTGTAATCCAAGATTTCCAAGTTAAAAACTCTTAAATACCTTTTTACTTGTGATATTCTCGCTACAGTGAGCCCTTCTCTCGTTGTAGCGAAGAAACTAAACAAAATTTTCTTTTGCTGTCTATCATTCTAACTACAACGAGAGTTCTTAGCTATAGTGAGTGAGTGTCAGAGAGCTTGATTTTAGATGCTCTTTCTCGCTACAGCAAGATATTCTACAGCTTACACCATTTAAATTCTCCAAAATTCAATTAATTTTATACATATAACCAACATTCAATACTACAATAATAAATATAAAAAACAAGGATGTTACATGATCTAGTTCAATTAGGTTGTTCGATTGAATTAATAATTGAATTGGATAAATGTTCAAATTCGTATTAAAATCTTTAAATACTGTGATAATCAGAGTTACACACATTTGGTATTCTGTGGATTGATATTTTTATCATTTGTTTTTACTTAATTTTATTGTTTGTAGTTTAATGTAATTAATTTACAAATTTCAATCCGTCAAAAGTTTACTCGCATTCTTTAAAAGAAAACGTATAATTGAATTTAACTACAAATGTGTCTTTGTGAATCAACTTAGGTTTATCTCTATATTACAAAATCCTTAGAGAATTCAGTTGTTTTGATAGAGACTCGGCATTGTCTATCAACCTTATTTCTTTGTATAGTTTTGTATAGGAAATAGTACAAGGAGGAAAAATCAAAACCCTAAAGAAATAATTACAAGAAATTCAAAATCAAAGAAGAAGGGGACGATTGCTTCAGAGTAACAATCAAATGGGGAAATTAGAGAAAGGAATTGATAAACATGTGTTTTGTTGTTGCAAAAAAACTAAAGGAAAACGAAGTTCTCTTTTTTAAAAGTGACAATAGATTAATGCAAAGAAAAAATTATATTCAAAATTTAACTAATGTATGAAATCCACTAACGATACAAATGGTACATTGAAATCACATATTCACCTATTACCTAGAGAGATTCATGAACAAAACATAGAGATTTATTCAATTTGTAACAACAATCACAATTCTGCTGCATATGATTTAGGGCACATCATTCTAGGAAAAATACAAGGAGTTTGAAAATGAACAATGATTTAAAATTGGGGATGAAGATAAATATAGGATTTAGAATCTTAAATTAATTCTGTGAGAAGTTGATGAATGATATAGTGACTTCAATGTAAATGAAATGAGAAGAATCATAAGAAATGAGTTAACTATAATCTACTTCATCACTCTTAAAATCTCGTGAGAAGCTAATGAATAAATATAGTGCCTTTAATATATATGAGATGAGAAGAATCATAAAAAATAGACTGATCTGAACATTTTCATGAAACTTTAAACTAAAAACTAAAGGATCATTTAATAATAATAATTAAATTTTTTAAGAATTAATTAATAAATATATTTTTTAAATCTTTAAAATATAAAATTAAATTTAATAGATTCATAGGGTAACCCTTTTATAAGGAAAGGGTACACTAGATTTACCTAAAATTAATCACTCAAAATGTCCTGTTCCAAAGAGAGAAATATTTTAAAAAGCTCAATTCTTTTACAAGCCTTGCATGCGAATGCCAAATTAGGGCCAGCTCATCCACCCCAAGTCATCAAAAGTCTACCATAAAACCAAGTAATTCACTATATCTTGTCTTTTGAAAATGGACTAGAATTTTTAGTCTAACCTATTTAAGCGTTGCCAATGGACTAATGGGCTAGCCCATCAAAGACAAAAAAATAAAAAAAATTAGAATAAATAAAAAATTGATGAATGACAAGTTAACGGATCTGTCTAAAATTAACTCAAAAATAAAAAAATATAAACTTAATAAAAACTTATGACACATATTTAAAAATATTTTACATTAATTAAAAATATATTTAATTTAAAATAATTATATTTTTAAAAAAATCTGTATGAATTGACATGCCATAACCTAGATTTTAGTGAGCTAAGCTGCCTGGCATGCGTAAGATATTCCATCCAACTCGCAATTTTTACCTGGTTAGGTAGGTCAACTAGTCACTTGCATGTGTAAAATATATAGTGTTTGATAGCAATGCCTATAAAATGGACCATTGCTTGTCACTTGCATCATGGTATGAGACGGGGGCGTGTGAGAGAGCGAGGGATGCAATATATAACTCAAGAAGCAGCTACTTTTTTTTTTTAAGTGAGGAAGGAGAAGCTAATTAAACTATCACTCAAGCTTCAAAATGATTAACTCTTTTTCACCCTTCAAATTACCAATTCTGTCACAAACAGGGATGCATCCATATTACTTTCCTTGTTAGTAGCAAATTACTGTTTAATTCAATGTCAATGTCAATGTGACTATTACGAAAGAAAGAATAGCGTAATGCTTAAATGGAGATGTATGACAATAAGATCATTTTCTCAGATCAACCTTTTGATTTCCAGGAACGTAGGATATTATGAAAATCATATTTTGGTACTAACAAATATAGAGTAAATGCTATAATCCCGTGGTGTGCATAAAAAAAATGTTCTCTCACTTACATAGTTTGAAGAGTCCGTTATACTCCTTTTAATATGTCTTTTCCTTATATAAAATGTGTCTGGAGAGTCATGTTGATTATATTATAACGAAAAACAGAATACTGTGTGTGTGTGTGTGAAGAAAGAAAGAAAATGAATACAAAACTTAGAAAAGAAAATTTTCCTTTGTTTGCAAACTGAAGTACATACCAAACACCTCGTACTTATTACAGAGTCATAAGTTAAACAAGAAACAAGAAGGAATTTGCAAACAACAACACACAAGAAGAACTAAGAAACTAGGGCTTCATGAACTTAAAATTGATCAACGAATTGCAATGCCTCTTCCACCACAGATGTCAATACAGATTTCTTATTGTTAATCACATTGCATTTGGCACGAATTTCACCTTGATTTCCTGTCAACACATCCAATTGGCTCAGCCTTATAACAGCATCCACAAATTTCTCGAAAAACAAGGTCTGATTGACGGCAAAGTCATTTACTAAACCCTTTGTCCTCTTATCAGTGAGCAAATCTTGGTCAGAAGTGAACACACCCTGGCGATTCATTAGGTCGAGATAGTATTTGTTGTCAAAAACTGTGGGAGTTCTAATGTCCAAGTTGGCAGTGTTACCAGAATTTGCATCTGGGCATGTGGCTTGGAGTGTTTTGGCTAAGGTTTTGTCCATGTTGGGGTCTAAAGGAGAAAGTCTATTGAAGAATGTGCCACAATGAGCACGACCAAAAGTGTGTGCACCTGATAAGGCAACCACATCGGTTACATCAAAGTTTTTGGCTGCAAAAGTTTTGATGGTCACGCTGGTTGTGTTAAAGGGTGATGGAAGATTATTTGTCCCTGAAGTGCTGAAGCTTATGCCATCACGTCTTCCTAGTGGCACTGCATAATCAGGGCCTCCTGTCTGCTCAAAAGTTCAACAAAAATCAAGGTCACAAAATGAAAAAAGAAAGTAACAAGTACACTATATATTAATCAATGTTTTAAAAATAAGTTAAATAACTTAATTTATCGATTCGTTTAAATTATTGTTGAACAAACAGTATTTAATATATTTTTTAGTATTATATAATATATTAAATCAGATTAATTTTAAAAATAATTACTTTTTTCATTTAAACAAAAATATATTTCTATACTCGTCACAACCTATTAATTACCTGTTGAAAGGAATTCCCTGTATGTATATGAAAAGGACATAATCCTAGATTTTTCATTAGCTAACTAGTGTTATACAAAATTACAAGGCTTTATTTGGACTTCATAAATAACAGCATGTTTGGATAAATACATTTAAGAGTTATAGAATTAGAAATGAAGAGAGAATAGAAGTTGTGTATTTGGATGGAGAGAGAGAGAGAGAGAGAGAGAGAGAGAGAGAGAGAGAGAGAGAGATTTCTCTTTGTGGGAGTTTCCATTAAAAACAACTACAAATTAAGGAAAGAAAAAATGAGAAGGGTAACGGGATTTTTTACTTTTTGTTTTATTTATTTTAATTGATAAATTAATTTTATATAATATAAAAGTATTTAAAAATTAAATTAAATTTTATTAATTAAAAATATTATAATAAAAATAACTAAATTTTTTATAAAAATTAATTTTATGGTTGATATAAATAATTTTTAATATAATAATTTTATTTTTCTCTTTTTTTAATACAAATACTATATTTATTTTGTGTAAATCTTATTTTTCATTTTTTTTATCATTTCAATGCTTTTAGTCACGGTGTTACTTTTTCAAAAGACTTTTACATGCGTCTGAATTTATAAATATTCATTTTCAGATTTATACATAGCAGATACCTAATCGGTTATCACTACCGCCTGGAATGCCGTGGAAAGAACTCCATCATTATCTCCACTTCTCAGCCGTGTTTGGATTATTCATATAGAATTACTTTTTGAAAAAGTGTATTAAAGAAAAAGGATAAATTTATTTAAATTATATTCAATAACTAAAAGTTCTTTAAGCAATTTTTTATATGCTGTAAATAAATTATTATTACCACTAGAAGACTATGGAAGTACTTTAAAGATTTGAAAAGTCGAAAGAGGGTAGAATCAATTAGGTTTTAGATTGTGACTTTCACTAGCTAGCCTAAGGAGTCATCATTATACAGATGGCCTTTCTATCCGTTAATTATTCTATCTTCCAAAGTTCAAAATTCAAATATTTGAGTGTTTTGATATACATACATACATATATATATATATATATATATATATATATATATATATATATATAATTATTTCATCATTATTCATGTTTTAAGTTTTTAAGTAATGGTTTAAGAACCCCTATTCTCTATATTCTTTGGATTACAAGAATAAGATTTATTTAATTACTATATTGTATTTATATTTAGAAGAGATTTCCTAAGAGAGAGTCTAAATATGTTGGCAGTTCCTTATTCTTCATATGATTGAGCCCATATATGTTCTTACGTGTACAAATATTACATATTATAAAGAAAGTATTGAAGGCATATTTTTATCATATATTTTAATATATTCTTTATTATTAAATGGATTTTATAAAAACAAGTTCAAACTATTTAATAAACATTATATAAAATCATTAAATTATACTAAATAATATCCTAAAAATGAATTAAACTGTATGTCACTTATCATCTATCATTCAACATCTTGGATAGTTGTATATCATAAAGGAAAACTTCAAAACTGTAGCTAGTAAAAGCAGATAGAGTTTTCAAAATTATGAGAAACAGAATATAAAAGAAAAAGTGAGAGGGATGAAGTGATTACTAGGTAAACAGAATCACGAGCTGCCAAGACAGTGATATCTGCACAGGAAACGATTCTTCCACACTCCTTATGGGCAAGAGCCCTTAGATCATCAATGGTCTGCAAGGCCTCACTTCTTATGCCTCCATTGGCAGGTTGGTCTCTTTCACCTGGACTCCCATCTAGCAGCACTGACCCATCACATCCCTACACATGCAAATTAGAGTTTAACATTATGGTGAAGCATAACAGTTAATTATAACTTTTTTTTTAATTTTAAATTTTTGAAAAAATGATTTGACTACAATCTTAATGATATCATTTTAATAGAGCAAAAATATGTACATGTTTCTTGTGGATAAAATTTGGTGAAATTTTAATTTTAATTCCTAAAAGAATATTTTTATTTTAAATTTTAAACCTTTCATCTTTAGTAATGTCGTGACTTAATAAAAAAATCTGACACGTTAATTTTTTATTGGGTCACAAATAAGACCAAAAGTGGTGTTAAAAATAAAAAATAGAAAAAGATTAAATTAATTTTTTTATAAAAATAAAAACAGAAAAAACATATTTCAGCTAGTTTAGTTCTAATTTACATTAACAATTAATTAAAATAAGTTATAAGAATCGAATCTGTTTTCAAATGTTCTCATTGTAGAATTACATTTCAAAATTCGAACAAGTCTTTTTAGTGTGAACAGGGTTTATATCTGGCACTTCATAGGATAATTGAACTTAATTACCTGAACAAAGCAATCATGGAAGAAAATGCGGAGTAAGCCAGGGGCTTGGCCATTGTCCTGCTTGAACACCTTTTTGAGATGGTTTCTAACAATGGTTTCAAGCTTAGGACATGTTTGGGAATAGAAAGAATATGATAGTCCCTTTACCACTGGGGGCTTGGCTTGTGGCTCAGAGGCACAAATGTGTGAAGCAAGTAGAATGAAAGAAACGAAGAGCAAAGAAGGAGAAGCACCCAAACTAGCCATCTTTGTTTACCTTAGTGTGATCTTAGAGTACTCACAAGGTAACTATTTATAGGAGGAGGGGGCGGCTATGGGCACTGTCCCACACGTTTTCTATCCTAATAAAGTATCAACTCCACACTCTTTTAGGAGAAAATTCTACTTCGTCGTAATTAGGTGAATTCATGTGTACACAAAATTCTCCCATATGTATATTCAAGGTTTGGTTTTTCAATTTTATGTGCTAAAGTGTATATGTTTCATATTTTTGTTCTTAAGTTGCGGATATATTATGTTCATCGATGGATATTTTTAATTATTTAAAAATAAACATTTTTTAAAGTTAAAAATTATTAAAATCTAATTAAAACATCCTGATAATATAAATATTTTCTACGTTAATGTTTTATTAAAATTTTATAGTTGATAACAGTGTTTTGAAATTGGACAAAATAAAATGTTCTTGGCAAGATAAGTTTGCAACTTGTATGAAAAATGTTCTGCCATGAAAGATTCCTTTCAATTTTAAAACAGTGAAGTGGAATATATTTTAGACTGTAGGACATAAATGAAATTAAATGTTATTATTACAAACTTTTGACAAAACACTACGCCCACCATATCTATATATTATTGCAGACTAGAGACATATAATCACCAACTATTTTATTAAAAGGGAAACGTTAAAGATATTAAGAAATTAAAAAATTATTAAAAAGTTTTATAACTATACTTTATAATTAATAATACACCTTAATGTAATTTTTCATGAAAGAATTATTATTGTTAATTTTTAATTAATACCTTGAGAATATTAGGGCATAAAGTTGTTAAAGTGACTAATAACGGGTTCAGCTCAAAAAACCACTCAACCTAACTTAATTCACTTCGTAATGAGTTTAAAAAATATTAATCTGCCTCAACTCATTAACTTGGTGGATTGTCTCACAGATTGGCTTGCTAAATAAAAAATTCTAAAATATAAAAAAACAATAAAAACACATTTAAAATAATAATATGTATAAAAAGTTTACTATTATTATTCATAAAAAATATCCGACTCAACATCGATTATTGTTCGTTAACGGGTATACTTGTTGAAAAATAATTAAAAAAATTCTCAAATTGAATTTCTAGAATCTCGTCATGCATGATTTGTTTTAATTACTGAAAATATTATCATTTAATTATTTTAACTAAAATAATGCATAATAAAATAAGAAAAATTTGTAAAAAATTTAAACTAAAAAGAGTAATTAAAAGAGAGAAGAATACAATGAAATTTTTGTCATGAAAATATTTGAGAAAAACTTAAGACATATAATTTCACTTTATACTTTTCGCCACAATCTTGATTTTTTTATATTTGTCAACCACTCATGGTAAAGCTATTATTTCCTAAGCTATAACTTCAATAATCATGCAAAGTATAAAGAGAGGAAAAATATAAAGATCCTTGACTTTGTTAATTAAATAATTGATTAAAAGAGAAAATTTAAGTTTGTTTCACTTAATTTTTTGTCTCATTTTACCTTATAGATCCATTAACTATATAAAGTACAATTACTTATAATGCAATCAATTATGAGATGTTAAGAGTGATCAATTTTTAATATATAAATATATACACATTAGGTAAAAACTAATCATCGAAAGAAACTGCAATTGTCATTAATAAAAAGATAACATAAAATATGTAAAGGATTCATCATAATCTTAGTTATGAATTTAGCTATTTAGAATGAAATAGGAAGAGAAAGCAATTATTAAAAAAAAATCATATTCATTTGAAAAGAAATGAAAACTAAAAGAATCTCAAAGAAAAAGAGTTAGAGAGAGTTTTTATTTTCAAAAAACGCTTTTGATCACTTACTAGAATTTTAACATAACTATTCATCATAATCAAACACCTTGAGTAGACTCTTAAATAAGGTCATACTTCTTATTGAATGTGACTTTATTTTCTATCAAATTCTTTCAATAACGATTAAAATATTTTTGAAACTTTTTGGTTATCAAGTTATACTACACTCACTAATTAATAATAAAATAAGTAATTATTAAAAAAAATCATATTCATTTGAAAAGAAATGAAAACTAAAAGAATCTCAAAGAAAAAGAGCTAGAGAGAGTTTTTATTTTCAAAAAACGTTTTTATCACTTATTGGAACTTTAAAAATGTATTCTTTATCTTCATCTTCGCTCCTAAACAATTTCTAAATGTTGTCAAAAGTCGATTAAAATAAAAGTGTGATCGTAGTTTTTATTTGTTCCTTTAAATAAGATTCTTAAAATATTAAAAAATCTCTATATTTAAATTACCATAAGAAAATCATAGTTATACATACCCTTTAACACAACTATTCATCGTCATCAAACACTCTGGATAAACTCTTAAACAAGGTCATGCTTCTTATTGAATGTGACTTTATTTTCTATCAAATTCTTTCAATAACGATTAAAATACTTTTGAAACTTTTTGGTTATCAAGTTATACTAAACTCACTAATTAATAATAAAATCAGTATAAAATTCTCATTAAATAAATTATAAAAATATTTTTAAATATATACTCAACAATTAATTGAATAAAAGATAACTTAAAATCTTGGTCAGTCAATATTTTTTTAATTTAACTCGTTAAAAATTTATGATAAATTGAAACGCCTCATCGATTAGGATTCATTTTAACAGATAGATAAAAGAAATTTTATTTTTAAAAAATAAAGACCCGTATCCAACGACAACATATGGTACAACGACAATATATAAAATAATTTTATTCTTTGGTTATTTAAAAATATAAAATTTTATTCTTTTATTTTAGAATAAATATCTATAAGTTAATAATCAAAGAAATAAAATTTATATTTTAAATAATTATATATATAATAATATTTTTATGAAAATATTAATTTAATTTTATAATTATGAACATTATGTACTCAAAATATAAAAAAATTAATAAAATAAAAAAATTAAAAAGAATAATTTTATTATATAAGATAAAAAATAATTGAATATTAATAATATATATTAATAAATATAAATTTAAGAGATAAGATTTTTAAAAATAAATCTCAAATTTAAAAAAATATAAAATTAAAAAATAATTATAAATACTTGCTTCTTAAATAGTAAATGCTTATTTAAAATCACTAGTTACATGAAATAATCGTTGATTATTCTCCACAGGCTTTTGAGATTTGACTGTTCAACCATGAAAATTAACGATCAATATCGGAATTCGGAAATAAAACTCGCACTGTTCATCATTATCATTTTATCTTAAAATTTGTTAGACAGAAAGAAACGATCAACATGCACGTGAAAAAAGTAGCCACAGTATACATAGGTGAACCACTCATAATTGGCATTCAAGGAACTAGAAACTTTAAGCAATAGAGAAACAGATAAGAAAAGAAAAGAAAAGAAAAAAGCAGTGGTCCAAACAATTTCAAAATAGACAGCTTCAGAGCTTTGTGCAAAACCTCCACTCATGGTTGGTGCACGACGGCTTCTTCTTATAGAAATTTGAAATCACCTTATTTCTAATTGTTGACCACAATGTTTTGGTACATGAAATATAATCAAGATATTTTCACCCTCTTTATAATTTGAGGTTTTCAATAAAATGATTTAATTCATACAAGACCCAATAAAATGATTGATTGTATTAATTATTTGCTCTATTTTATTTCACTGTAATTGAAGGAAAACCATTTTTTTTTACCTCATAAACAAAGATAAAATGGATAAAAGAGGAACATAAAGTATAAGTTGTTAAATAATAAATTAGAAATTGCAATTACAAGAAAAATAAAGAATAAAAGGAAAATGGGACAGATTCGGAAGCTTCGCGCAAAAGAAGTTTTCCCCCTGTGAGCGTCTAATTTTGACTAGATTTTAAAATAAAAATAAAATAATCAGATTTCAACCTTTTTTTAAGGGAAATATGAAAATTTAAAACAATTATAATAAATAAATATTTATTATAGTATTACTTTTACATGTCCTATTTTATCTTTCTTATTATATAAGAATGATAAATGACTGCGACAAAAAAACTAGATGGTCAAATAACTATTATTCTCCGGAATAAACACTCTAAAAAAAATGTTGATTTATAAAGAAAAATTAGAGCCAAAATAGAGGTAAATTTATTATTTTAAAAAATATTTAACTATTAAAAAGAAAAATATATTAAATGTATTAGAGATAAAATATCCCTCATTTCAATAATTTCATTTTATTTTATCATATTGACATAATTAACTATATAGCTTAAATAAATATTTAATTTTTCCAAAAGTTATAATATTGAAATTTAGTCTCTGTAAAATTTTTCTTTTAAAATTAATTCATATTTTTTTGTAAATTATCATTTTTAGTTTCTTTAATTGAGATAATCCATTGAAATGATGTCCAGTGTTAACTATATGTTGGACCATATTAATTAAACAGACTAAAAATAATAATTCGAAAAAAATAGACATTATATTATAACAAAAAAGAAGTATAAAAACAATTCAAATTGTATAACTTTGGTAAGATCAAACACTTTATTAAATATTGATTATTAAAAATAAAATTTAATTATCAAACTATTTCATATCTAATTTTATATTTATACAATCAATTCAAATCAAATATGCTACCTCTAATTTAGTCTTTGCTGAAGTAAATAATCAAAATTAATTAAAACAAAAATCTGTCTCTACGTATTGTAGTTTTTTTTAAAAAATATGAATAAATTTTTTTATTTTCAATCAAAAGATACATTTTAAAAATTATTTTTTGGATACTTGTTTAAATTTTTAATTTGTATTTTAAAATTATATTTTAATTATTTAAAATTTATATTTTTAGATTTTACTTGAAATATATTTATTAATTGTATGAATACTTTTTAATTTTAGAAATTAAATTAATTAAGCAAAGAATCAAAATTATATATAGATGGATTAAAGTAAGCTAAAAAAATATTATACTATTTTTTTAAAATTTTAACCAGAATAGAAAATTATAATTATATATTTTTATACTAAAGTGAGTTGAATATGATAAATTGAGTGATTTAACATTTATTTAAATAAATTATTTTCTGTGAGATTTTTAATACTCCTTCTAATAAATATAACTTATGATTTTTACTCCATAAAAAAAAAATAGTTTTGAAATCAATTTTAATCTAATTCATGAATTCTAACTAAAGAACGTACATCTTTAATATAAATTTTTTGAATGATCATTTAATACGTATTTTTGATTGATTCAATACCGCAATGAATATTTCAAGATTGATTTGGACATGCGTTTTCTCAATTTGAACTCAAAAGTATAAACTACGCGAACTATTACTAAAAATATGTAAATTATAAATGAATTATAGACGGAATTTGTAAAATTTATTGACGAATTTTAATATTACAAATGGATTAGAGTGGTTTAAAATTTCCTTGTCGATAAATGAATACAAACAAATTTTTAAATTTACGTGTAAATTTCAAATAGAAAAAACCATCTCTTATATTATAAATGAGTTATTCTATTTGTAATTTAAAGACAAAAAAATTCGTTTGTATCATTTAATTTAATTTTTTTCTCTTTTTTAATTTGTATAATTATTTTTTTCTTTTCTTAATTATTACAATTTGTAAATATAAAAAAAAATTAAAATCAAAATTTAAAATTAAAAAATTGTTTTAAAATATTAAATTAAAATATCATTGCAATTAAAGAAGTAAACATCTAAAGTAATAATGTTAAAAATAAAATAACAATATCTATTATAAGTATTCAGCGTGATCATCATCAATAACAATATCATTATCAGTATTATCAGTAAAGAAGGAGTAGGAGAAAGAGAAATGTCGCATTGGGCTAAATACTATTAGTGCTAAAGCTGATAGAGGAGGAGGAAGATGTGTGGTGCTGCTTGCTCTCATGAGTTTAAAGTATGCATATATTTGCTGCATTTGTATATGTTGCTACTATACTTCCATCTACATCCTTAATGCCATTTTTTTTTTTTTATATTCTTCTCTATTTTCTTGGTCCACTTCTTATTTTATGCATTCTCCATGGTCTTCCATATCTCCTCATCATGCTTCTGAAGCTCTTCATTTATGGTATAGACTTAAGTGTGAATCATGTCTTCAACCTCCTCAGGCGCAAGAAAAGGTCATCTCTGGTGACAAACCCAAAAGACATTGAGTCAATAAAGCAGGCCCTCATGTCATATATGTGACTTTTATGTAGGTCACCCACTGTCTCTAACCAAAGAGCGTGCTCATCAATAGACTCTGGGTCCTGAGAAGATGTAATTTCAAGTCTTGGAACATAATCATCCTATAGTTTAGCGTAGATAGTTATATATTAGCCTCGAGAAATATTTTTTAAATCTTGAATAAAAAATAATACTGGTAATTATAGTTACATATTTGGCCTGAGATTGTATATCAACTTACAAGGTTTTGTCTCCCTTGTGAGTGTGTGTTTCCTTGAACACTTCTTCATGCGTAAGCGATCTCTCTAACGACTTCTCTTGCAATTTCAATTAATAAATCTCTCAAATATCAATTGATAAATTAAATTAAATGACATAAATTTTAAAACAAATTTAAAAATCACTAACCAATTTGGCCTTAGTACTGACCAAAGTCATAGAACTGCTGATATGCAGTGATCTCTCTTTATTGGATACCTTTGTTGTTTTGTTCTTTACAGAGAAATTTTTAAACTCATCCGTACGTCAATACTCTTGCAAGGCACGAAGAAAGTAAGGTGCTATGCAATCTATAGATGAAAGATCTTGACAAGCCTTAATGTACATCTGTCTTAGTCGCTTTATAGTGCAACTCTTTCACGTCTTTAAAATCATCTTCTCGTCCTTGGAGAGAATGGATAAGTTGCTCTACATAAATAGAAATTAATTAAAATAGGTACATCAATTAGAGATCTAATTATTTTTAAAATAAATAAATTGACTTTTATTACATTTCAATCTTTGAACCACTCCAACTTTATATCCATAAGCACCTTAACAAAACTTGTGTAAGGTACATCATACAACTTTTTATTCATATCCATTATCTAGTAGATACCCTTCTGCAGTAGATACCAACTGAACACACAATAAAATAACACAATTGTTATAACATTCACCAGCATGAAAATTTTATGTCATATTTTATAAATAACTTACCAAGTGAATCCATCCTATCTCAATCCAGCATTGGATCCCTAGCCTATGCGATGTGTAGAGAGGGATTGTGTGGTAGATGTAATCAGTGATATTGACTGCAAATCTCGCGGTACTAGAGGGAGAGGAGGCATATACCCAAGATTGAGTATTATGATGAACTGCTCTTGCTCCTTAGCTTAAGAGGTCTACAATACAGTTGATGTGGAGGTGGAAGTGGAAGTAATGGATGAAGTAGTGCTCCCATGTACAGGACATTGAGCAACATTTTTCTTACTTTTACCTACCATATCTGAATAAAACATAATATATGTTTAGTAAAAAATATCATTATTAAAATAAAACAGGATCAACATTGGTGAATACTCAAAATGTTGGGTCATGTATGGTGCTTGAAGATAATTTGATTGTTTACAAGATAAGTGAAACTTGAAGCCAAAAGAATGGTGGGTCGTGTATAATGCTTCCTAAACTTCAAACCATTGTCTTAAAGGTCCTTTCACAGCCATCCTCTTCTTTTTATTGTGAGCAAAATTAGAACACCTATTCTTTCATTTATTCCATGAAAAGAAATAGGCTCAATTCTAAGAGGGCTAAAGATTTAGTTTTTATACATACAAAGTTTCAATTGCTCTCAAGAAAGAGTAAGAATTATTATGAGGGTGAGACCAAAATATGAGATATTGGTAGTGATGAGTGAGATTCATTTGCAATGGCTAATTTTTTTGAAGTTGCTACTCTTTTCCTTGATGAACCAGATTTGGAGGCAATGCCTTTTAACTAATAATATAAAAAGAAATGATGAGATTGACACTATTAGAGTGTGAATGTTTAACCTTTTTGTTGTTGATTGAAGATTAATTTATAAATTTGTATTTTTGTTGGAATCTTATTTGTTGAACAATGTGATTCACTTTATGTTATATTATTTTTAATGAATTGTTAAACAATTTTATGTTATTTAATTATCTCTATATTAATTTTTTTTTTTTTATTATTATACCCTAGTTTTTGAAAAATTAGTGTATTCTCGTACCCGTACGCGGTACCAATACTGTACCCATATCCATGCAATGTAGACGGCGGGGTTTTGGTCAAAGCAAGTACTTTTGAGGATGTTCATGCAGCGGAGGGCGTGTTACTTCAACACGGGAGTGATGGTGATGGATCTGGTGAAGCGGAGGAAGGAAAGGTACACCAAGAGGATAGAGAGGTGAATGGAGATTCAGAAGAGCGACCGGATCTACAAGTTAGGGTCATTGCTGCTGTTTTTGCTGGTTTTCGCGGGACATGTGACTGAGGAGACTGCGAGTTTCCATCGAAGAGACTCTTGGGGAAGGCGAGTTACGTAAAATTTGCTTAAGTTACGTAATTTTTCTTGTTTTTGTTTAGATTTGCTTAAAAAAATCTAAATTTTTTCAGTTATAATAAGAGAATATTAGGATCCATTATTCATTAATCCAAGCTGCTGAAAACCTCCAGAGAATATGCATACTGCTTTCTTGATCTTCATCAATTCAAGCTTAGCTAGAGGGATTATCAAAATGATGAAATACTCATGAAAACTTATAGATATACCAAAGAAGAAAAAACAAGGACAAAATTTAAGTACAATAACACAGGCTTTGTTATGTGTTTTAGTTAAATTTGAAATTTTATTAACTTTTAATGTTTACTTTTAGTGAACAGATTATTAAAGAGAAACTTTGATTTTAATAAAGAAAAATAATTGTATTTCACATAGGATTTGTCCATATAACAAAGGAGAAACTTACCAATACACTGAAACCAGTGACATTTACAAATGAAGTAGCCAAAGAAGCAGCAGCTAGAAGCAACTCATCCAAGTGGCCTACAAACATGAGAGAGATCATCTGTATATATATATATATACCTTCCTCATCAACTATATAAACATATCTTTGACAATATCATAGTGATGATCAGCTTAGGATGGAAGAGCTGAAAAGAGATTTTGTTTTTTCTATTAAGTTCTTTCGAAGTTGCAACAGCTAGCTTAAGTACTTAAGATTTTCTCAAAAACAAAATACTAACGACATTAATGGCTTCTTTTTACCAAAATAATGTAATCTCAAAAAATATTTATCTAAAAATAATATAATTTGAAAAACTAATTATCTAAACATTTAAATTCAACAATATTTGAAAAATTTAAACGTCATAAACTGCACAAGTAACGAATAAAGCTCTAAAATTAGGATGTTTGTATTGTATGAAAACAGTTTAAAATAAGCAAATATGACAATCACAAAAACTGCACAAGTAACGAATAAAGCTCTAGATTTATCCTACAAACTCTTAAGTACAATATTTTACTCCTTGATACTTTAAAAGCTTCCTCTAAAATGACATCCACTTTAGTTGTTTTTTTCTAAATAAAAGTAAAAATTCAATAAAATGAGACTAAAAGTAACTACTTATTGGGAAATCAGGAAATATTAGAGGACTTTTAAGATTTGAAGGACTAAAAATATAATTTCAAATACTAATTTATTGATTGAAGTACCCAATAACAAACAATCACCCGTTTTCAAATTAATTGAGTACATGTTCCACATCTTCCATAACAAATGTCAACTTAGAAATCTTATTGTTTATCACATTGCATTTGGCACGAATTTCACCTTGATTCCCAGTCAAGACATCCAATTGGCTCATCCTTATCACAGCATCCACAAATTTCTCAAAAAATAAGGTTTGATTGAGGGCAAAAGCATTCACTAATCCCTTTGTCCTCTTATCTGTGAACAAATCCTGGTCAGAGGTGAACAAACCCTGGCGATTCATTAGGTTAATGTAGTACTTGTTATCGAACACTGTGGGAGTTCTAATGTCCAAGTTGACAGCATTACGGGTGTATGTACTTGGGCAAGTTGTTTTAAGGATTTTAGCTAAGGTCATGTCCATGCTTGGGTCCAGAGGAGAAAGCCTATTGAAGAATGTGTGACAGTGAGCACGACCAAACGTGTGGGCACCTGCTAAAGCAACCACATCTGTGACATCAAAGTGTTTGGTTGCAAATGTCTTAAGGGTCACATTGGTGGTGTTATATGGTAATGGAAGATTATTTGTTCCTTCAATGCTGAAGTTTAGACTATCTCGTCTTCCCAGTGGCACACTATAATCAGGGCCTCCTGACTTTCAATGTTGAAACAAACAAAAGTAAAAATAAAAAAATACAACTACAAAATAATCATGTTTATAGTAAAATATTTGAGTAAGAATACAAACTTTTAGTTTATTATACCCTATAAAAATATGCTTTGATAAACAACTTAATTAGATGTTTATTGAATAATTTTTGTCACATGAGAATTTATGATAACTTAATCATAGAACTTATTGAAATAAGATAGAAAGAGCTTAATTTAATAAACTTTATCAGTTAAAAAAATTATTAAACTAATAAAATTTATGAAAGCCATATAATGTTTTCACAAGCTCTTTTAAATGTTCTTGAATACTAAAATAATTATTTTATAAGCTGCCTAAAACCCTCAATGCTAACTTTTTTTTTTCTTGTATCAAAACCTAGATTTTTCAATTAAAATATGTTCTATTAATTTACTTCTGTAATTATGTTGCGTTCTTCATGTTTAAGTACACGCAGCTGTACAAGTCATTAAGTGGAAGAATAAGACATGCAAACAATTGAAGTATCTTTGTAATTTAAAATTGGAGCTTCATTCTATCCTGTCATAACAAAGTTGTAAGAAAGGTGTTCAATGTTATATTATCTTGTATAATATGACAAATTTTTATTTCTTCATTCTGACTCATAATAATTTGTTTCATTCTCATGTTTTTTGCTGTCTGGTTGCCTCTATTAATTTTCTGCTGTATTGACTTGTCAGCTGAACATGTAACCACAAACTTTTCTAACCGTTGAAATATTATTACATTATGTGACTTTGTTACAAATATTATTCCTCTAATAAACTTGTGCAACAGATCAAGAAATAAAACAAATATATATATACACTATGTTTTATAGGTTCGGTTTGGGTAATTAATATAATATTTGTTTAAAATAGAGTATAAAAATAAAAACCAAATTCTTGTTAAAGTAAAGACTGCACACAGACATAAAACAAAGTCATATAGGCATCCTAAGAAAAACCAATAAACTACGCATAAACGCAATAGGGTAGAAATACAATGAACAAAAAAAAAAAACATTGCAACGTATGCACTTGACTGGCTTGCCTTAAAGGTGTCCATTTTTTACTTTTTCATTTTTCTTTGTTCAAACAATCAATGTTCTTTTTCTTTTCTTGACCATTTTATTCAGATTTAATCGGACATGAACATTAAAAGTAACTGAACTGTTGCAATCTTAAAATCCAAATTCAATAACTTAAATTACATTAATATATGTAATTATTAATCAATTATCAATTGATTAAATATTAGCTACTAAATTAAAATAAATACAGAAAACATTTTTATATTTTAATATAAAAATAAAAAAACTAAAAAATTACAAACACACATTACACATAAAATCAACTCGTCCAATTTCCTTATTTACTTTCTTTTAATGTTTAATATTTTGTAAAAAAAATTAAAAATAATTGGTTGTACACACTACAAATAAATAAAATCAACTCGTCCAATTTGCTTATTTACCTTTTTTAATGGTTAACATTTTGTACAAAATTTTAAAAATAGTTCGTTATAAAAAAATTATTATTTATTTTTCATTATATCTTTCATTTATTAAATTAATATCTCATTTATTTATTATCAAATAAATACTAATTTATAAGGATAAAATCGTAAAAATTAAGAATATTTTAATTTAAGAAAATAGCAATAAATAATAAATATATAATTTCTAAATTTTTTTAAAAAACTTAAGATGTCAAACAAGTTATCAATCGCTTGCATCTCTTGATCTAGAATGATGACTCTATTAGATAATAAAAGTTTCATTTTAATGGATTAGTGACAAAATAAATGGTCTTGAGTCTAAATTGTCAAAGCATTTTAGACGAACAAATTAATCAAGATTAAAACTCTTCAAATTGTAATATGGTATCAAAATTTAATTTAAGAAAAAAAATTTAAATCCAAAAACTGACAGTGAATGAAATGCTCAAAATTAGAGAAAAAAGTTCAAGCAAATAAAAAAGAAAAAGAGATAAAAATACAAGTGTAAACTAGCTTTGACCTTTTAATTTTTTTTTCAATTTCTGAAGCTTTAATTTTATTTTTTTTATCAAACATGGATATTATATTAAAAAACTGAAATCCAAAAATAAAAGGAGGGATAAAGTCAAATAAAAAATCGAAATAGTTAAAAGAAATAATAGACATGTAGTATTCTAAAAAACAGAAAGAAAAAAAGAGGACAAATCTAAGCAAGGAAAACAAGACCAATGACTGAGGACCAAACTAAAGTAACAAGCCATGCTTAAAAAGTTAAAATATAGATTAATTGGATTAAACCTAGTTAAACTTAAAGAATAATATTAAATAATAATAGTTTCATATGGATAGATTAACAATAAATTAAGCGGTGTATAAATAAGACGATTATAAATTTAAATTGTTAAAGTTTTTAGATAAATAAATTACTCAAATTTAAAATTCACTTTTTTCCTTCACTTAAAAGCTGTAAAATATTTTATTATTGAAATAGAATATTAATTATCAACTTTTACATACTTCATTTTAAAATATGTATGTGTGGGGCACAGGTACACTAGTATAATAATAATAATTTTTAAAAATTAAATATATTTTTTTAGTAAAAGTATAATTTTTTTTAAAATTAATCTATTTTTTTTAAATTATTTGTACCAGTGTGTTATTCATTTATCAGACTTCCCACCACCCAGCAGATAAAAGACATCTTGCACAAGCTGTATTATGAAGTTGGAAGGTAATTCAACTTAAATTTATTAAGTCATATAAACTCTATTATACAAATCCAAAATCTAAACTAAGGGTTAGCTTATATAATAATTTAATTATTCTTTATTTTAATTATGAAGAGTATATAAGAAATATTATATTTTCAATTGTCTTGATATATAAGATCAGAACAGTAGCATCAGAGGAAAATTTATTTGCAATTAGTTGTTATCTATCTATAAGCGGTAACTAGGAGAAAATATAGATAAACTTAAGATAAATATTAGTAACATAACAAAATGTAACAAAAGCTTAAAAAAAAGTTATTTTACGTGATTGAAAATTTTGAATAATTCTATATCACAAAAGAAAGCTTAAAAATTATAAATAGTAAGAGATGTATCTTGAAGAAACAGAAAATAAAAGTAAGAGGGACGATGAAATTACAAGGAAAACAGCATCACGAGCTGCCAAGACAGTGATATCGGCACATGAGACTATTCTTCCACACTCCTTGTGAACAAGATTCCTCAGTTCATCAATGGTTTGCAAGGCCTTTGTGCTTATGCCTCGGTTCAGTGGTTGATTCCTTTCTCCTGGACTACCATCTAGCAGCAACGACCCATCACATCCCTATATATATTTATATATTATGCGTCAAAATTGGAGTTAGAAAACAATTTGACATGCTTAATTAATGTCAAATTCAGTGGCTACCAATTGGTTGATTGCGATAAAATACCTGAACAAAGCAATCGTGGAAGAAAATCACGAGCAAGCTTGGAGCTTGGCCATTGTCCTGCTTGAAAACCTTCTTGAGATGGTTTCTGACAATGGTTTCAAGCTTGGGACATGTTTTGGAATAGAAAGAAAATGATAGTCCATCCACTACTGGGGGCTTGACTTGAGCTTCAGAGGCATTGAAGTGTGAAAATAATAGAATGGAAGAAATCAAGAGCACATAGTATAAAGTGGGATAAACGCTAGCCCTAGCCATCTTTGTTGGTCTTGTGTGTGATTTGAGACTACCTACTAGAGTAAACTAATTATTTATAGAAGGAGGGAGTACTTATGGAGTTAATTGTAGATGATGCCTTTTAATTTAATATTAAAATAAAAATTTATTTTCTATTATACAATCTATATATAAATTTTACTATTTTTAAAATACAAACTTCAAATGTTAAGAAAGTAAAAAGCTAATTGTGTGAAATGATAGATATGATTCAATTCTATTTACAAAAAATAAAATGAAAAATTGATTAAGATGAAAATATGGTCTTAATCATATGAAGATCAGCCAAGCCTTCTGGTGGACACGAGAAGCCAAAGTGAGTTTTCGGAAATCAAACGGGCAGAAGATATCGGGAAGCATTCGAAAGCACGTACAAGTTTTTTATTATTTTTCTAAACGTGGAAGGAGGGGGAAGTGATCACAAGCTAAACAGAAATCAGAAGCGACGATGTCACACAGAGGAATAGATAAGCGTGTGTGAGTAAAAATAATAGAAAAAAGGAAAGAGAAATTTGTATCTTCTATCTTCTTAAAATAGTTTTTTTTAAATAAAAATTATTTATTAACATAAATTTATTTTTATTTTATTTTTAAATTTTTTTAAATATATTTTTTTAAATTCAAAAACAAAAAAAAATAAACAAGGTTTCTTATTTATTTGTTAAGATAAAGTTTGTTTTCATTTTAGTTTTTAACTCTTAAATATTATATTTAAAAAATTAAAATTATTATTTTTTAAATAAAAATAAAACTTACCTTAATAAATAATTTTTTCACTTTTAAAAAATTATTTGCAAAAACAAGCTCTAAAACATTATTTGGACTTTTAGTGAAGGCACACAAGAAAAGTATTTTCTTTTTTTCGTATGATAGCTGTAACTTTTTTTGGTGAAGGTTATACTGAGTTAGTAAGTTAAATAACTCATAAATAAGTTAACAAAATGACTTATTATAGCAAGTTTTAAAAATTTGAATATTTAAAAATTAATCCTTAATAAATTTTGAAGATAAAATATTTTAATCTTTTAGATATTTAAAATAGGTTCTTCTTTAACTTAATTTTTTGTAATGTTGTTATCATTTAAGAAAGAATATGATTTTTTGTTCATGTGAAATTATATGTTATATTCTCTCAAACTCACTCCTATTTTTGTTTTTGAAGCAAGTTCAAGAATTTATTGTGTTTTTAATGTAAAGTTCAATAATAAATTAAGTGGCTATGGTTGAAACTTGTTTGATAAAAGTTTGAAAAGAGATATCAAGGCAAGATATCTAATGTAATTAGGTAGTCATCTCTTGGAATATTGTCGTAGAAACTTTATTCAATTTCTCCTTCTCCAATTTTAATTCCTTCTTAATAGTATGCAAACTCTTTTCTAAAATCTACCCTAAACCCTAAACTTACATAACTATTCTCTTTTTGAATTGTTATACTTTTAACTGTGATATTTGTAAGTAGAACTAATTAAATTTAAAAATATTATATACTCTCCCAATTGTCTAACAAATTAACACTTTTGGTTTTCTCATAATAGATGTAATGACTAAAAAGATTTCGTTGAACAAAAAAAAAATGCAAAAAATTCATTCATTGTAATTTTTACTTAAGCCACCATAACTCGCTTGAGCAAAATTTAAGAAAGTAATGAAATACCAAATTTCATCAAAATTTGCTAAAGCCAGCACTCATACGCTTAAGATAACCAAAGACAAAGATGAATCTAAAATTTGCATCAAACTTTACTTAAGCTGGCATAATTTAGCTTAAGCTAGAATAATTTAGCTTAAGCAAAGATCTTAACTTAAGCATTCATTTTTTTTATGATGGCTTAGGTCAATGTGTAACACCTTAATTTTTATTTCAATAAGTAGTAATTTTACAAATTCGGAATAATAAAAGTTTCATCAAGCATTTCAAAATGAGAGAAGGGTTACAAGTTTCACATCAAATCACTATTACAAGACTAGTTCATTTACAACGTTTTTCAAATTAATTTTCTAAGCCCTATAGCAGTTCATCCATCCCTTCACTGAGTCCGGTACTAATCGTCTTGATTACCTGAAAAATGAATGTAAGGGTGAGTACTCTACACTACCTAAAACACAATCAACCATAGAGTCTCACCTCTAACTCATTTCCAATACATTTATACAAATATAACACAACAGCATCATTATCTAGTATATTTCAATTTAACATCAATGCACTCACAACACCAACAACACTTCACATTCAAAATTACAATTAATAACAATCTCGCGTACACGCACGCCAGCCACACTCACTGTGGCACTGTGATCACAGATTTACACCATGAACGGTTGCCGGTTACCTCTGCCTCACGGATACCACGTGGGCAGTCACGGGTCGCTCAGCAAAAGTAGTGGTCAGAGGTCTAGTTAGAAAGAAAGTGTGTGGCCCGTGGTGCACCCGTTCCACAGTCGGTGTCACCATCACTCCCTCTTTCCCAAGGTATTTTTACCGTCCTCATCTTCCACACTCCAGTATATCGTTGAATCATTCACAACACATTACAACGGCGCTAATACGCCCCAGTCATGCATGCAATATTCATGCTTCACACGGCACACAGCCCCATTCATTCATAATATACAGCAACAGGCCCACATTTCATTTCCCAGCACACGGCACATAACTTACAATTATCCATTCATATTACACGGCCCTTAGGCCCATATTTTCACAATATTTATTCAAATATAAGGCACAAGTGCCCATGCCTATTCACCATACTTGGCATATAAGCCCCCATTCTATCATACGACATTTAGTATATAATCCACATTCATCAAATTCGGGTAAATGCACACAATGTTCACATATCACGGCACATGGCCCACATTACATTTCTCAGCAAATTTCCTACCCTCTAACTCAGCTGCAACCTAATATTCAGCAAAACAACACAATCACACACAATAGAGTTGGGTAGAGTTCCCCCTTTACCTTGGATTGAAGACCCACACTCGGATTCGACCACGGACATGCTCCCTACATAGATTTTGGGCTAAAACACATGGAAGAACTCCATGAGAACGCAAGGAGACCCAGAAACAAAGAAAAGGGGATGAGAAACGGAACCCTAACCATTAAAACTCACCTCCAAGTATTCCCCACACAAATTCAACCTTCAATCTAATTCCCGAACGGCTTTGGACGCAATTAATCGGTGGAATAGGGCTTTGGGTCGAGAGGATTGAAGAGATTTGGGAGGGAATTTGAGAAAATGAATCTCAAATCCCTAAACCACCTTTTCAAACCCCTCTGATCACGACACTCTCGCTACAGCGAGATATTCTCACTGCAGCAAAAAACTCAGAGAAATCTACACTCTGGTTTCTGCAGAATCTCACTACAGCGAGACCCTCTCGCTACAGCGAAATTGCATCCAGAAATGCACCCCAAATTGTTACTCTATCGCTATAGCGAGATATCTCTTGCTACAGCGAGAAGGCGACAGTTTTGGTTCTTCCTCCAGGGCCCTCTCGTGAGGACAGCCTAGTATTACACCCTTAACCTGTTTTTAGCATTAGGAAATTGAATCCAATCAATCATACACTCACGCATACATATATATACACATATTCATACTCATTACACACAAAAACACCATCATTACGCATTCAATGCAAATTTACAACATCCATTTACACTTATATGCACACACACACACATATATATATATATATATATATATATATATATATATTCATTTATACTTACATAAATAATAATAATTAATATTACAAAATTTGGGGCGTTACACAATGTGTTTGAAACCCTTACTAACAATGGTGTCACTTATCCTTCAGGTGATTGTTTTCTTCAAATGTGGCATATGACAACTCAATGACAGTTTCTCCAATGAGGGGGTTGGATGTGTGATTGCATAATCCAAAAATACCAGGGTTGTTACTTAATAAAGCAAAGAACATGCATGCAGTTTCACACATTACCGTTACACATTCGCTTAAGCAATTTGAAACTCTTACTAACAATGGCGTAACTTATCCTTCAGGTGATTGTTTTCTTAGAATGTGGCATATGACAACTCAATGATGGTTTCTCCAGTGAGGGGGTTGGATGGGTGATTGCATAATCTAAAAATATCAGGGTTGTTAATAAGCGAAGAACATGCGTGCAGTTTTACACATTACCGTTACATATTTGCTTAAGCTCTTTAGTCTCCGCTTAAGCGAAAATGCTTAAGCGAAAATAATGCAAGTAGATTTTTTTTATATAAAATATGACAACTGCTTAAGTGGTATACCACACACTTAATTGCCCAAATCCACTAAAACTTTGCTTCAGCGATTCATATCTAGCTTTTGCCTCAATATTCATTCAAATAAATGTTTTCTACATCAATTTTGCTTTGACTAGTATTCATGCACTTAAATGATTTAGGTATTGCAAGATAAATTAAAGTTTCAGCTTAAAAATAGCTTCATAATGCTTTTAGCTTAAGTTAGAAATCATTCGGCTAAGCTACATTTATTTCGCTTAAGTTAGAGTTATGTTGCTTAAACTATACTTATTTCACTTAAGTTGTATTTACTTGGTTGAAGCTAGTTTTTGTAAGTTTAAGTGACATAATATTAGCTTAAGTGCCCAATTTCTCACTTAATGACATAAATTTAGCTTAAGTGAAAAATTATTGGCTTAGACAGTATATCATTAGCTTAAGCGAAACATTATTAGCTTAGGCAAAATAGTGTTAGCTTAAGCAAAGTAGTAATCCCATATCATTTGCTTAAGCGAAATAACAAATTATTACCTAATTTATTTTATGGGGTTATTCTTATCTTCACCTAAATTATAAATTTAAATTTAAAAGTAAAATATATATTTATTTACATTTATTAATCACCATAAAATACTACTGGTCCAACCAGATGTAATTTAATTAATTTGATATTAGATTACTCAACTAAGTAATATATTATGGAAGCAAATCTCAAACTCAAAATAGAATAGTATAAAAAGTAAAGTTTTCCTATTATTTTTCAATTTTTATTAGTTATTACAATTTCAATTTAGGCATACATTTTAATTATAAAAATTAATATTAAGGAAAATAAATGTATTTGGTAAAGCTTTTTAAATATTTAAACTTAATTAAATAGCTAAAATAACTGTTGAAGAATAGATTTTTTATTTTTTAAAGTAACTTGAATTAATAGTAACTAATATGTTCTGAAATGGTATTTGAACATTTTATAATTAACTCAAATTATCATAAAAAGTTAATAATCGTTGTTAATCAGTTAACTCATCCTTACAATTATAAAAACAAGGCATAAAATAAGGTGGAAGGTCATCACATTTAATTCAATTTTCTATATTACTATTTTTAACTATTTTAATTACTTTAATATTATTCAAATTTTAAAACAAACATCTTAAACTAATTCCAATGAATTTTTCAATTTTCAAAAGCTTGCAAATATTTATCACTACTAATGTTTTATTTTTTTACTTAATTTGATAAGTTTCTTAATGTAGCTCATTATTCAAAAATTCAATAAATAGTTATCAAACAAAGTCCAAATTTAGATAGAAAACAAATACGTAGTTGTCATCCCTATCTCCATCGTCCATCCCTTGCTCCTATCTTGCCTCTTAGACTAATTATTTTCTCATAATTTGCATATCCTAATAACATGACATTCATAGAGACGTTGGCTGAGCTCTTTGTTATTTCCATATAGTAAAATTTTGATTAATTACTAATGACAACTTTTGATACATATAAATTTCTAAGCATACTTTACAAATTTATCTTTGCATTGCGAATTATTTTGATTTTAATTCTAAATTACATTTTTATAATTCAATTCCTTAAAATTCATATTTAAAATAAGGATTAAATATGTGATTAGTCCCTGTAAATATAACATATTTTTTTTAAAGTTCTTATAAGGTTTTTTTGTTATGATTTAGTGAGATGGCTAACAAAGAGTTGATTCAGCACTCCTACATCATTGTCACGTCATTTACTTTTTTAAAATATTTTAATTTTAATTTTTTTTTGTCCTTATAAATGTAACACATTTTGTGATAAGTTGTTATAAAGTCTTTTGTTAGGATTTATAATTTGAAATTGCCAGCTCAACACTTATCAGAGAGGAAATTGGCAACAAGGACTAAATCTTAATATTTTACAGACTAAATCTTAACAAAAAAAAATTATAAGAACTTATCACAAAATTTATTATATTTATAGGAACAAATCACATATTTAAGCCTTAAAGTAATTAACCTCTTCACTATCCTTCCAAAGATAAAACTAGTTTAGTTTTGGTTTGCAAGCTGCTTCAAGAAGATTGAGTGAAACAATCAATTTATTAATACATATATTACAATTATTAAATAAAAATATAACATAGCTCATTACAATCAGAAAGGAAAGATATATTTGCTACATCCTATGTAATTTCGCTTAAGTCATAGTTATTTCGCTTAAGCCATAGTCATTTCACTTAAGCCATAGTTATTTAGCTAAGGCAAAAATTGGTTATAACGTAAGGGTTTTCTTAGTCTTATATTCGCTTAAGTGAATAGTATAATATCTTGAATGGCTTAAGTGAAATGATTCTTGTGAGCTATTTTTATGCTATAATTTTTGCTTAAGCTAGCAAAAATGGTTTAAGCAAAAATTACAAAAATTGTGTGATGCAAAATTGGACATTTTGTAAGGAGCAAATGAGAAAGATCTAAAAAAGTATTAAATAATCTATCAATACAAAAGCTCATTTTCATAATGAATTGAGATTGTGAGGTGGATGTAAAAGTTTAAATTCTAAGAATCATTAACTTCATACATAAGGTTTGTAGAAAACCTTAAAGATCTAAAATTAAATTCTAACATTCTATTGATTCAAAAGTTATTTTTAATTATATATTGAAACTACATCAAGGCATATGAATGTATACTTTTTTAAAAGCACTACTTAGATACAAGATACACGACTCCTTAACCTTGATAGGAAGATGACTTATTCAAAAATTCTTGCACAAGGGTAAGGAACTTTGGATGAACTAATGCGAATGGGTGTAAGCTTTGCTGCTAAAAAACACCCAATGTTGACCACATTGAGAGACACAAAAGCATGTAACGCTAATTGGCAACATGCCATTAAGTATCCCTAGTGGTACAAAAAGAGAGGTCATGATAATATCATCTACATCCATACCATTCCTCATAAAATAGATCCCACATCCAACCAAGCCTTTGACCAGGAAACGGGAGAATTTCCACTACATATGAAAGGCCAACCAGAGAGTGAGTGTAGTGGGAACAGGCTTCGCAAAAAGTCAACCTCAAGCCAGGGTCAGCATAGAATGGAGAGGTAGATAGAGTTTGAAAAAGATAACATGATTTTGAAGATAGAAGATAATAGATTTTAAAGATATAAATTAAGAAGTTTTGAAGATTTAGAGAAAAATATTATTAATTTTTACAGAGAATTAAATAATAAATATATAAAATAAATAGTATTATTAAGTTATCAGTCGAAGATTTAAATCGTTTATAAAATTTAAAATACATCTAACAGTTTAAAAATATCACTTACTTTTTATTTAGTTGGTTAACTCACCCTAACTATTTTTATTATCAAATTGATAGTAGTCCTAAACGGATAGTCTCTCATGTTCACTATTGGAGATCTCGTAATTAAGTATCTCAACTATATTTAAGATATACAGTAACTTGAAGAATTTTGAAAAAAAACAAAATAGAGTACGATCAATTGTTGAAAATTTAAAGTTTGAAATTATAGCAACATTTTATATATCAAAGTTTTAACTTTGAAAAAATTTATAATACACATTATGTTAAAAAAAAAATATGGATAATTTTTATATTGCAAAAATTAGTCATTTCAATTACAAATATATCCTCAACTAAAAATATAATATTTGATTTTTAAATTTTATCTTTCCGTCTTATTATTATTTTTATTACTAATTGGTCTTTAACTCGTCTCTAATATATAGATCTTTTTATAGTTTTATTTATTTATTTTTTAACCGAGTAATTAGTTTTTAATTCAGTTATTAATGTATTTAGTTGTTTTTATTTAGTTATGCTAATCATCGATAACTGAATCAATTATATTTTGATGCTGATTTAAAATAAGAAAAATATTTAAACTGGACATTTGTATATAAATTATTTAATAATAAAATATTTGATCAATAAAAAAAATAAAATCAGTCCTTAATTCGATCACAAAAGTATTAAGAAAATATAGTTGTGATTAAATAATTGGTCTAATTTATTTGTTACATTATTTTTAATACTGTAGTGACTAAAAATATTAAATTCTTAATTTATCTGGTAATTTGAGCGAGAAATAATTAAAATTTTGTATTTTTTATTTTTATTTAAATATTTTACATATAACATAGCAAACTAAAATTCACAATCCGGAGTTTTTATTACACGCAGTCATTCACTAAACAAGAAGCATAAGCCAAACAAACCTAGAATTGAGAACTAAGAAAATAGAACACACAAAGAACTTCATAATTAACTAACAAACCATGGCTCACTAATTAGAACTGCTCAGTCAATTCTACCACCTCTTCTACCATAGATTTCAAGGTAGATTGCTTCTTATTTATCACATTACACTTGGCACGAATTTCACCTTGATTCCCAGTCAAAACACCCAATTGGCTCAATTTCACCATAGCATCAGCAAACTTCTGAAAGAATAGGTTTTGGTCTTTGGCAAAAGCATTAACTAATCCCACGGTCCTTTGGTCATTGAGCAAGTCCTGATCAGAGGTAAACACACCTTGACGATTCATTACATCAATGTAGTACTTATTATCAAATATTGTTGGGGTTCTTAGGTCAAGATTGGCTGTGTTAAGTGACTGTCCATTGGGACAAATGGCCTTGAGGTTGTTGGCTAAGGTTTTATCCATAGTGGGGTCTTGAGGTGACAGTCTATTGAAGAATGTTCCACAATGGGCACGACCAAAAGTGTGTGCACCTGAGAAGGCTACCACATCTGTGACATCAAATACCTTTTTTGCTGCAAAACTATTAATGGTTTGATTAGTAGTTGCAAAGGGAGATGGAAGATTTCTTGTGTCTGTTGCGTTAATAATGAATCCATCTCTTCTTCCTAATGGCAGTGCAAAATCAGGGCCACCAGACTGTCCAATTGAAGCAAACAAGAGTGTTAAAAATAAAAATTAAAGATAAGTTAAACAAACAAAAAAAAAATTTAATATATGTAATACATGGAAGCCCGCAAGTTAAAACCATCATTGTTAACTACAATGTTTATTTTAGAATATTACAAAAATAATATAATTTATATTACACAAGTTTATCACTGCTTTTCCTTTTTGAGATATGAATGAAAAATAATATAAACAGTTACATGATAATAATCAATGTTTTAAAATTATGATGACAGAAAGTTAAGATGAACTTATATTCCGAAAGAAAAAGCTACTTTAAAGTTCTCTTTTACTTTAACTTAGTAATAAAATAATGGTATATTTATCTTTAAATTTTTATTATATAGTTAAGACCAAAAACACTTAAAAGTTTTTAAAAAAATGTACATCATCTTTATTAGTGAGAATAGGAAAATAAAAAATATATAGATCTGACTGTATAATTATATATAAAAGTCAAAATTTAAAACTACTTAAAGTAACACACACATAGACATATATATATATATATATATATATATTAAAATAACAACATATTTGTAATATTTTAATCTTTTATTGTATGAAAATTACGACTTCAATATAGTTTCTATATATTTAAGAGATTTTTTTTGTTAAATTAACCTTTTTTAACCTTTATGAGTGATATAACAAACTAAAAATTGCTATGTCAATTTTTTATCATATTACTTTATTGGACTGCGTTAACAAAGGGTAAAAGTATTAAATTTTTTAAAATAAAGAGTAAAATAAAAATTAAAAATGAATTAAGAATAAAGAATAATAAGGAAGTTACAAGAAAAACGGCATCACGGGCAGCTAAGGCAGTGATGTCAGCACATGAGACAATCCTTCCACACTGCTTGTGGACAAGATCTCGCAGGTCATCAATGGTCTGCAATGCCTCTGTCCTTATTCCTATGTTAGCCCCTTGATCCCTTTCACCTTCACCTTTTTTCGCATCCAACAGCAACGACCCATCGCATCCCTACACGTGTCATTTCAGATTATTTCATGATAAATTATTAACAAAATATAACCCTTTATATCATGACACACATTTTTAATACCCCCTTTTCTATTCGATGAAACTCGTTGACTAGAAATCATGAAATTTTGCCATTCAAGTTTTAAAAGGAAAACCGAGCTGACATATATAGACCAAAAGGAAAGACTAACAATATACTTAAGGAGTGTTGTTACTTCCTCAAAAGAGAAAAAGAAATTGTTATATAACTAAAGCAAAATATTTATAAGGCTTTGATAGGCCCAATATTTAAATTGAACATATTAACTTTAACTTACTCTTAAAAATAGTTTGAGAGAAAAGTTGTTTAAGCATAACAAAGACAACTACGGTTATATTTTTAGCCAATATAAGATATTTCAACACTTTTGTTCACTAAAGTCACTCCTATATGAAGGTGAATAAAGAAGAATATAATAAATGAGAATTTTTTTATATATTAAAAATAAGTACCTTAATTATTGAATATTTTCTTGAATGATCGAGATTCAAACACAGGAGTCATATAAAAAAAGACATTCTTCCTGGATACACATTTTCTAGTTAAGGAATCAATAAACAATTTTTTTTATCAAAAACCATGCTAAGAGTGTATTAAAAACTGTAATAAGAGTACATTAATCATATTTTTTGGCACACTATTTAGTAATTTGATTAGCATGGTGATTATTACACATGCTTACCGTAACAAAGCAATCATGGAAGAAAATACGGAGTAAGCCTGGAGCTTGGCCATTGTCATTCTTGAACACTTTCTTAAGGTGGTTTCTTACAATGGTTTCAACATTGGGACATGTTTTCGAAAAGAAAGAAAATGACAGTCCATTCACCACTGGGGGCTGGGCAAGTGCCGCGGAGGCATGCAAATGAGAAGCCAGCACAATGCAAGAAATGAAGAACAAAGAGAACAGAGAAGACAAAGAAGAAGAAGAAGAAGAGTTCAGCACACCAGCCTTAGCCATATTTTAATACTTCTTCAATTCAGAGCGATTTGAGATTACCAACTAACGTGATTATTTATAGATGGAGGGTGAGGATTCGTGACTGTGTCCCACTAGTTTATTTTTCTCTCATTTTTGTTTAAATATCTTTGGATTAATTTTATGTTATTATTAATGATTAAATTTTAATACTAAATACATAAATAAACTCGTAAAATTTATTTAATTGTTGAAAAGTGTTATATTTTAATTAAAATACGTATTTTTATATTGAAAACTAAAAAAATAAAAATTCAGTGAAGTATTGAGTGTCACATGCTTTTGGAGTTCCAAGGCAGTTTTGGTGCGCAACAATCATCTAATAAACCGAGAAAAATATAAACGTACCTGATCTTCTAGTTGAGAGTAATTTATAGACACATGCAATTTAATTTTAAACTTTTAATAACATATTTTTAAAATTAATTTAATAAAAATCACCAAACTCAAATCCTGTAATAATTTTATCACTTTTAAAAAATAAATGTCCATTCTAATTTAGCATCATTTCTACTTTTTACATGAAACTTATAAAACATTATAATTTTTATTCTTATGAAAAATAAGAAATAGTTGAAATTCATTTTTATAAAGTAAGAAATTGCACCTTATGTTTTTAAAGTTCAAATACTAAAATGCATATTATTCTAAGATAGAGAAAAAAAAAAAAGAACATGCTTCCTTAAAATTCTATCTTTTATATAAGATAATATTGTTTAATATATGCGCAATTGGACGTCACTAAGAGGATACGCATTCATTTCCATTTGAACGCACGTTCAGTGAAGGAGCTCTACTTAATGTAACGTTGATATTACATGCGTTTAGAAGAATATTACGGAACTCTTGAAAAAAATTAAAAGGTTAAAAATAATATAAATTATTATTGATATTACACACTTTAATTCTTTTAAAAAAATTGAACTTTATTAGAAACTATAAAATACCAGTGATGTCATTAAATTATTTTGATTAATAAAATGTGTAAAAAATATAGATTTAATTGTACTTTTAGCCCTATATTTTAATATACATGCAATTTTAGTTTCAAAAATATTATTTTATATTGCTCTATTATATAAATAAATAACATATAAAATATAATAAAAATTTAGAATAAAAAATTAATTTAAATATTTAAAAAATTAAAATTAAAAAGAAAAAAAACATAATTTACAAATTAAACCAAAAATATATTACTCTTGTTCAAACAAAGGCAAACATATTCTAAGTATTATTGCAGAGATTTGATCTGTTAGTCACTAGTTTGGAGGAAATAATTAATGATTTCTCCAAGACCCAACCCCATTAGCAATAATTTAAATATGTAGTAATTAATAAATTGAAATATTAAATAAGACAATGAATAGGTTCATTTCATGCAACCCCACCGACTAAATTACTATATATCGATGATAATTAATTAAATATGGCGCTGCCACTTTTTGAACATGAAATGCGTTCATTACTTACTATTGCCACCCCAACTAGTTGCTTCTTTTCGAATTTGAACACTAAAATAAGGTTTCAATCTATGAAATACCCGATGCTTTTTATTTTTAATTATTTTTTACTTTGTTAAAGCAAGTTGTATGTATCAATTGGTTTGCAACGGGAAGACATGATGGGGACCCTGAATTATACTATTAAAATTTTTATTTAATGCATTATTTCAAACTTATATTTAGTGTATTTTGATTTTTGATGAATTTTTTAAAACCTTTGTTTGTTCTATTCTGGTGAAATTAATTTTCCATCATAAACTTAGACAAATTCTTGCAAATTAAAGCATAGAAAACTATACAATCTAAACTGGTTTATTATTATTATTATTTTCCTGAAAACTGACTTGGTTTAACCTAACACATTCCGACATGAATTATAAAATAGAAAGAAAATATAAAAACCTGTTTGCTTTAATAAAATTAGGCAGTTGTAGTTTATTTATGAAACGATTCTGTCATTGGTTGCTTTGTCCTAGATGCTTGTTACATTTAATTACGAAGAAAGTGCTCATTGAACGGATAACAGCCAATAACACAAATGGATTCACTTAAAAGAATATTTTGCTTCTCGATGCTTGTTTAATTAAATCATCGATGAACTCAAACATGCAGGCAACAAGTCATGTTTTTATTAACAACTTATCTTAGTAGGGAGGTGCATGTCTTGGTATGATCACCAATTCTTAGAATAAAAATATTTAACATTTTGATTATACATACATACATATAATATATATATATTAGAAACTTTAGTTCAATTAATTTTATTTATATTTTAGGTAAACTTTAAATTTTATTCCTTAACATTTTTTATGCAATTTAATTGATCTTTTTTAAGTTATTTTTCTAACACAAAATAATTCCTTTTTTTTTATTCATCTTTTCACTTAAGAAAATTTCTTAAAACAATAGCATTTTGGACAAGAAATTTTTTTTTCTTTTACATTTTTTATGCATTGTACGTACGGTAGATTAAATCTTTGTCCAAACTTTTAAACCGTCAGTAAAAATCTCTTTAGTTACATGTAAAACATTTTTGACCACTGCACCTACTCATTTTATTTGTTTATCTATTGTACATATCTTACAATTGTTGTTAATCCTTCATCACTGATCGAGTTTCATACATCTATAAATTTTAGTATTAATCACCTTCATTACAAACTCTCATCTACGTCAAAACGACATTAGAATCATAAAAATTGAAAATTTAAACAAAGTTGAAGAAAATCTTGAGAATAAAAGAATAAAGTGAAACTTTAATTAAATTTAAAAAATTAAATTGACTTTTAAACATGACTCAAACAAGTCATTTTTTATCAACTATATTTACTCCAATAAATATAATGTTCACTTGTCTGCTCAGCATTTTTTTTTCTTTTTTGTCAATAGTTCATATTGGTGGTTGAAAAAGAGTGATTGTAGTGGTCGGTGAACTCTAAGTACTTGTGTGTGTATATATATATTTTTGTTAGAGAAAAAAGAAGGGGAATGAGAAAGAGATGCATAGGATGAGAAATGAAGAGGAAGATGAGTGATAAGTTTGTCATTAGATCCACTTTTACAGTTCATATATTGATGTTTGACCTTTATTTTTTTTGGATTTTATACTCATTTATATGTATATTGTACAATTTAGCATAAAAAGGTCACAACTAAGTTTAAGACATAATTTGGGTCCAAATTGGTTGCAAAATAGAGCTTTGCAGCAGTCAGTAGGCCCAGACCCTATCATTAAGCAAGAGAATGCTTTGAGCCCATGCACGACTATGCTCACGACCTTGCATAACTATGCTCATCTGCAACAAGCCCCATTAATAAATTTTTTTTAAGGTTTTCAAACTCTATTAAAGAGAGACCTTAGGCATCTGTTCTACATCTTGTCGTTTGCTCTTTGATACACCTTTTATTTTGTCTCTCTTGCACGGGATAGTTAGCATACTTTTGTTGGGACTTTAAGCTTCGAGCGATCGTACTTGAAGACCAGAAAATCATCTCTTTCTAGTTTGTTTTTCTCTGTAACTTTATTTACGATTGTTTTATTTCTTCTCTTCAGCATAAGTAACTAAGTTCATACCTAAGGCTATGTGTAATGTTGTTCATGAATTTATGTGATTTTGAAGTTTAAATCTATACTTGGCTTCCGTTCATGATTAGCTTTTATCGTATTGCGCATAATTATAATCTTAATTAATTACATCGTCAGGCAATCGTATCTCAATTAGTTAATGGATCTACAGGATAAAACAAGACAAAAGATTATGTGGACTAAATTAATCTTTCTCTTCCAATCGTTATTAAATTAACAAGTTCATAGGTGTTTTATGCTTTATTTAATTGATGTCTTGCATGATCATTGAGAATATTAATTTAGAGAAAAGAATATTTGTATTGTATGATCATTGGTAGCATCCATATTTGGAGGTTCCTCTTCATTTTGTTCAAAATGTTAAGTATAATTAAGACCAGCAGCGTCAGCGTTAAACATCATGCTTTGATATCTGACAATCACGTTGTAATAGTTTCCAATAAAACTAGATTACTCAAATAATTTTGCAATATAGAGAGCAAACCTAGGTCATCTCACAAGGATACAAATTCATTATGTTTTTAATTTTAAACATACAACAGTGGTTAGATTGGAGGGGTTTTATGGTTTTTAAGAATTTAAAAAGAAACGTAAACTGGCAATAGAGAATTGAATTAAATCTAGAAAACATAGTAAAACAAATTAAATTGAAATTGAATTAAATAAACGAATTAAACTAGAAAACGAATTACCCAGAAAATGAATTAAACCAAAAAAACAAATTAAATCCAGAAAACAAAAACAATACAAAAATGAATCAAGGAAAAACGAACGCAAATAAAAATAATTAAAACGATGAATTGAACCCAAAAATTGAAGATGAATTAAAGGCAAAATGAAAGCAATTAAACAAAATCAATTAAAATGAAAGCAATTAAAACAAAGACAGATTTAAAGCGAAAATAGATTTAAAAATGAAAACAAATTGAAAACGAATTGAAAAGGAATTAAAAACAAAAATGACTGCAAAGAAGAATGAATGGAATTAAAAGAATGAATGCAATGAAAAGAACAAAGGCAATTAAGACTAACATGAATTAAAATCACGAATTAAAAGCACAGATTAAAACCACGAATCAAAAACGCAAACTAGGATTATTATACCAAATTTTCCTAAATCTCAAATGCAATAGAAATCAATAGATCAATCTTACACTCAAGAATAAAAATCAAATTCAATCGAGTTATGCATATACAAATCTTAATCAAGAATTGCGAGAAAGTAAAAAAAAAAAAAAAAAACTCTGAGCAATCAATCGATGTTGCAATCTACACTTGAGACAAGATGATTCACGAGAAAAGAGTATTGGAGAATTGCACCGGAATCAGAAATTAAATTTGTTGCAGAATCTAAAAAGAGACAAGTAAACGGTAATGAAAACAGTTTT